ATTTTATTTTTCCCGGTCCGAAACCGAATCCACTTACCCATGGGCGTTTTTCAACATTCTGTGACGCTAAATTATCTGTAGGCCACTTCAGAAGTTGACGAGAAACCGATCTAAGTGGCCGTGGTTGCTACTTTGTTGTCCACTTATACGCCTCTTATCTGTGATGCATGCCGATTCCGATCTGCCCCCAGTCGTAACTCAATTCCGTTTCCCGCTGCGGATTGGCCAAAAACGATGGTGTACCGTGCGCGAAGCAGCACACACACTACTGTGAGATGCTGCTCCCAAATGGTTCGATCGGGAACAGTCTAAACAGTCTACACAATACGTGTAATAGTTCTCCGTGGCTACAATCAGATAACGCTCTATCAGCTGAGCTACGAGGCCACACCGATAGCACTGATCTTTTCACATTCGAGTTATCCATTCAACTTACAGAAGCATATGGCATCCACCAGTAAGCTGACTGCCCCCGACAGGTTTTCCTTAGAATTCACCGGAGTCCACCGAATGAGCTCCTAAGGCAAGGTTAATTGTTCAAATTTGAACGGTGTGGCCTCGTAGCTCAGCTGGTAGAGCATGCGCTGTTCAAATGCGTAGGCGGCGTCCAAGCGTGGGAGGTCGAATCCAACCGAGGCTTTTGAACTTTTCACAATCGACATACAAACTTCAACTCTGCCGAACAACAATTTGAACAATCAGATAACATCTAATTATCCGATTTCGTCCGCCTCCTACGGGGGCAAGTTTCCACTATTAAACAACTCCTTCTTTCTTTCCCAATTTATTTTTATTTTTCAATCTCATTTTCTTTTTATTATTGAATACATAAAAATACAAAATTTCAGGAAAGAGGAAGCGGCCAATCAAAGAGCTGCCATGGGACACGAAGTGAATGGGAAAGCTCAAGCGCTGGTCGTGGGATTTGAGCACACACCTTCCTAGAGTAATAATTTTGGTGGAATTACCACTGGACCACATAAATACGCACTCATTCCACGCTGTGAGGTTTGCCATTCCCTATACACGTCTAAATAAATTCGTGGAAATTCGAAGCTTGTAAGTGAACACTTTGTGCAAGCACTGTCCGTCCGAATAAGCACAGTGAGCCTGAATTAAGTCCCAGATCGATGTTCACACATAACGAAATACAAAACTGATTTCAAACAAAGTGGAATCTGATCAACTGCCATGGATTGTGAAACACAAGTGGAATAGTCGGATACCTCGCTACGTATGACGGAGTTGAATGAACCCAAGTCACAGTCAAAGTTTTATTATGGAAAATATTTACAAACGGTTGCTTTTCCTGTCTCACAGGGTTTGTCGCTTAAGTGGATCGATTTGCGGTTCATAGGGAGATGAGGAATTTCACCAATTTACTTCATTTCGTGCATGGATAGGAATGTTTAAAACTTTTCAATTTTTCATCCAGTTTGTGCTTGAAAAAATTAATTGTGGGCGCTTAAACAATGTGAGACGGTAGAGAATTTCAAATACTATATACTCTGAGGGCAAATGAATGAAACTGTCATTCGAATCGACAATTTTGGAGGACTAATTTGAATGAGTGCCCTCTGTGGTGAGTTTTGGGCGACAAGGCGCGCAGTGGACAACATGGGTGATCAGGGCTCTGCATTGTTTCATACATCAAAATCAAGTCCCGTCGAATTCGGCGATACTTTGTAGAGTTCAACAACCCCAGTGATTCCAGTCTTTCCACATAAGTCTTTGAATGCAGTCCCTTGACCCTTCTCGTGGTCATTCTTTGTGAACATTCCAAAATCTTGCGATCACACTGCAGCCATGAATTTCAGGCATGATTGGCATATTCCGTATGGGGTCAAAGGTAGGCTGATAACCAAGGTGGAACTACATAGATTCGAATTTGCCAAACATTCGTCTTTCAGTGGTGGACCACACCCTGGAGCAGTTTAAAGGCTAACGTAAGTCGTATTGAATAATGACACCGAAATATTTCTCATTCGAAGCATATGTAAGTTCTAGATGTGGCTTGAAGTAGGGAAACCGAGTTTTGTGCAAAAAGGATACGGCTGAGCATTTCGGTGAACTGAATTGGATGTCGTTTTGATCGACTGTCGAGAGGGAACACTAGGTGTTTTCTAACGTGCCAGTGAGTCCTCAGGTTTTGTTACTGTTCTCCATAGTTTTGTATCCTCTGTAACCATTACTGTTTACGGCCACAGAATTTCCGTCAGGTCATTTGAGAAAACTTAGAAAAATTTGAGAGGCAAGCTCGCATCCCTGTGAAACTCCTCGGGCTAGACTGATGGGATCAAAAAGTGACCCACAAATCCGAACTGCCGTGGTACGCGTGGTCAAAGAAATTCTTCTATCTAACCCCGAT